GGCAGTGGGCACCCCTGTAGCTGGCAGGGCTGAAGCTCCAACTAACATGGCAACGGCTCACCTTCAAAGGTGCATCTGAGACTATGCGGTCCCCCCACCTCACTTACAGGCAGGGAAACTGAGACAAAGGGGGGACCAGACCTCACCCTGCTGGTCTAAATTCCTTCAACAAAACCCTCCTGAGAGCCTCCTGGGCCTGGCGGACACAGGTTTCCCCCAAACATCCTCTCTGATCCCTAAGGAGGCCCTGCAGGCACCATCCACTCAGCACCCCTACTGCGCGCTCCATGCACACAGTAGGTGCTCAAACATCTGCTGAGGCCCATGGAGGCACTGAGGGCTTCCTCTGCCCACACCCAGCTGTTCTGCCCCAGGGACCAGAGTCCCCTCTAGAGGGAGGTCAGCACATTTTTTCTATTTAGGGTCAGAGCGTAAACAGGCGTGGCTCTTCAGGCCACTGGGTCATTGTCACAGCGACTCAACTCAGCTGAGTCGGCCCGAAGCNTGTGGCTCTTCGGGCCACTGGGTCATTGTCACAGCGACTCAACTCAGCTGAGTCGGCCCAAAGCAGCCATAGAAAGGTAAATGAACGGCATGGCTGCGTGCCAATAAAACTTTATGTACAAAATCAGACAGCAGGCTGGAGGTGGGATGCCCTAGGAGCTGACCCTGCTCTCCCTGTCGCTGGTCCAGCCCACTGTCGCCTCCCTGCAGAGGAGGCTGTGGGGCTCCAAAGGCCTTTTCACTGCCTCCCCCTCCACCACATCACAGCCCAGCTGGGAAGGGTCAGTAGAACAGGTCGGAGCAGGGCCACCTCTCCCGGAGCAGCCAAGCCTGGGCAAGGGAGGTGGGACTCGGGGCACCAGCTATCAAGGGGTCAGGGTGCAGCTGCCCCAGGGACCCAGGCACGTTCCGGCCTCTCCTGGGCAGGCAGGGCTCCGGGTGGGCATTCACACAACTGCACCTTCTGGGGACCCAGGTGGAGCCCTGACCCCGCGGGCACGGGCGAAAGCTTCGCCCCCCAGGACTCACCACCACTTCGGACACTTCAGGCACGATGCTCCACTGTATTCTCCAGCCCCTGGCAAACAGGAGACAGTGGGAGTCACGGCGACGCTGTCCAGTACCCGCCCGAGCACCCGACAGGAGGAGCACCCTGAGCGGTGGACAGAGGGGCTGCGAAGCCCCCACCTTCACCTCAGAGACCACCAGGGCCACTCCCTGGTGCAGATGACTCAGGAGGCCCCCACTGGCCCTCCCCTGGGGGCCTGCCGGGGGGGGGCACATGTAAAAGCCCCCAGAGGTGGCAGGACAAGAAGCCTTTCAAAACCAAGTGGGTGAGGCCACAGCACGTCCCGTGGCTGAGGGTCTCGCCTGGGCACGGAGGCCCCTCACCAGCATTTAACTGCTTTCCCTTCTCCAAGAAACATTTTAAATGGACCAGCCCAAGGCAGCACCGGGAAAATGAGTGTGTGGGGTGCGCATTCTGAGTGGCTGCGTCCACTGCGGAGTGCAGGGCTCTCAGGCCTGGCAGAAGTGGGGTTCACTGTGCCAGGGTGACCATGGGTTCAGGCAAACTGGGTGGCCTGGGGACATGGGGCCCTGCACAGGGAAACTGGGTTCCCAGCCGAGCCCCCGCGGCCTCGAGAAGGTACTCGGAGAACACGGAGGGGAGACAGCGCAGACCAGGGGCTCGCAGCTCTGCCACCCCCTGGACCGTCCAGGCCACAGAGTGTTCGCAGTTCCGTCACCCCGTCTTCCCTGAGGTTTGGGGGGAGCTTTCTTGCCAAAACACAGCCCATCAGAGGAGGGGCAGGAGTGAGCCTGCAGCCGGCACCTGCTGGCCGTTGGGGGTTTGGGCATCAGCCACGGCGGCCCCAGCAAACCTGGAGGCTCGCAGCCTATTAGAGGACCCCCAAATGCCAGTGCTCGAGGCGGAGCAGGCGGGGTGTATGTCACGATATACGTGACACCGGGGTACAGCACAGCCACGCGCACACAACACACCAGCTACCCACCTGGCTATGAGGTAATTGAGGGACAACCTCAAAATTGCTAGGAACAAGAACATGGGGATGGCCCAGCCGTGCCACACGGCGTTCATGTAGACCTGCGGGCAGGGGGGGGGCATGGTTAGGGATCCGGAGATGCTCAGGGCAGGCCTTACTCCTCCCCTGCCCCTGCCAGATGGACAGCGCTTGGGCCCAGTGGGATGTGGGCCTGCAGGTGGGGCCCCCACTGGAGACACCGGCCCCCACAGAGAGGCAGACAGACAGCCACGGACAGCTCAGGTGGGGCAGCCAGGCATATTTTCCCCAAAGCGCCCCCTCAACGCTGGGTGACACCCTCCACCCTTTCCCCGGGCTGGTGGCTCACAGGCTGGCTCGGGCCCCAGGTCCCCGTGTGCTTGCCCGGAGCTTCCTCTGTCCCCAGTACCCAGGGGGAGGGACCCCAGCGTGTCACAGGGGCAGACAAGACAGGCTCCTTTTCAGGATCGCTGCTGGGAACCCCACTGTGCAGACGGGGAGCCCTGCAGGCTGACCCCGGGGAACACACACGCCTGTGTCTGATCCTCCCAACAACCCCACACGGGGTGGAATCGCCACGCCCACTTCACAGACGGAGAAACTGAGGCCCAGCTCGTCCCCGGCTGTCCGCACACCAGGGTGGGTCCCTCGGGAGACCTCAGGGAGGGCACGCCCTGCCGCCCCGTCAGGAGCACTCACGGTGAAGGCGATGGCGGACGTGTAGACAGAGTACCAGTCGGATAAGGCGGAGAGGTTCTTCACGAAGCTGGTGACGGGCTTGGCGCCGCGCTCTGCGCACAGAACAATGACACCACGGTCAGGCACACCCGGAGGTCGGGCCGGCCGCGCCGCGAGGGGAACCAAACGAGCAAAGCGAACTACGGCTCCCGGGGTGCCTGACCCCTGGGCCCTCTCGGGGCTGCCCGGGGTCCCCGTGGGAAATGTCAGCTGTCGGCTCCCCCACCCCGGCCCGTGCTCGTGGCAGAAGGGGACCGGGGACTGGGGGGTCGTTCCCATCCCTGGGCCCTGGCAGGGGTCTGGGAAAGCTCCACTTTTCCACGGGGCCTCCACACCTGGAGGGACAGACGGACGGGGTGGGTCTGGGACATACTTCCAGCAGCCTTAGGAAGAAGGCTGGGGTGTGAATGCCCGAAAACGTCTTTCTAGAAAGGACGTCCGGTTCGGCACAAGACCGCAGGGCCCCTGCTCAGCCCCCACACCCACCAGAGTCAGCCCCCACCAGCGAGGTACTTACTTAGTCTCCGCATGTTCTCGGTTAACCTGAAGGACAGGGAGAGAGGTGAGCACCAGCAAGACTCACCTGTGACCCCCCCCCCGACACCCACGCCCCCTGCACGGTGTTGGCGTGTGGGGAGCACGGGTGACCTGGCACTCGGGAGCCACGGGCCGGGACGGGCCTCACCGCCGCTCCCTACACGGGAGGGGGTGTAGCCTGTGGCACTGTCCCTCGTCTCCTGCCCACGTTCCCCGGGAACTTGAGGCTTTGAGAGCAGGGACCTGGCCCAGCTGGCGCCCTTGGGGCCCTGAGGACCTGACAGCACCTGGCACGGGGCCTGTTTACCGCGCGGGTGTGTGGCCCCACAGGAAGCCCAGGGTGGGCACTCCTCCCCGAGCCCACTGTCCCCGTGTCTGCCACAAAGCGCGAGGGAGGCCACTGGAGGAGGACACCCTGAAAACCCGTGCAGCCTTGGGGATGGCTCGGCGGGACCAGGGGGGCCCCGCAGCCACGTGGGCAACCCCACTTCATGGCTTCGCTGAGACGCTGGCCTGGTGCCGAGGCCGCCCCGCCCCGAGGCCCACCTGCGGGCGCTGAGCGGCTCCTCGGTCTCCACGGCGCTCTCCTCGGGCTGGAAGCGAAAGTCCTCCACGTACTCCCCGAACTTCTCGTAGAACCACTTCTGCACCCGGGGGCACAGCCCCTGGCCCCGCCGCTCTGTGGGGACAGGCGGGAGACTGGTGAGGGCGTGGGGCCCACGGGCCTGGGGGGGGCAGGGCGGGGGCTCAAGGACGCCCGGCAGGGGGAGGCAGGTCCACACCAGGCTATGAAGGGCTCGTTCCCCCCAAACAGAGCCGGATCCACTTCTGCCACAGGGCGCACGCCAGCCCCCGTGGGGCCTGTTTCTTGCACCCAACCCCTGGCTTGTCAGAGGCTGTCCCAGCACAGGGCTGTCCCCTCACAGGCACCGTCCCCGCAGCTCCCAGCCCACGCAGGTCTGCGCTAGCCGCCTCCCTCTCTTACTGGGCACACTGGCCTCTCTGGGAGGTGGGCTGGGTGGGCTCACTCTCCAGGACCCTGTGGTCCAGCCAGTGGGGGTGTCAGGGGCTGTCCTGGTGAGGGCCCCAATGCGTGAGGTGGCCTCTGTTCACCCCCAGTCAAGGATTCAGAAAGCCACCCCCACCGCAGACTCAGAAACCCAGGCCCAGTCCCGCAGAAGCGGGCTCTTCAGAAGGCAGGTCTCGGAGTCGCCTGCAGGGGGCGCTGTCCGCCACCATTAGAGGGACCGGTGAGGCGGTGACGTCCTGCGGGCTCCCAGGACAAGGGTGGGGAGGTTTCTGCAGAGACCCCCCCCAGGCACAGAGGCGGGTGGTGCAGGCGGGAGGTTCTCGACCGGAGGGTTCTTAGAGCGAGAGGCAGGGTCAGCTCTGTTATCTCAAAGCAGCTGTGGACCAAACGTACTGATGGGGATTTGAAATGCACGTAACGTTCACATGTGAAACGTGCCTTACTTTTTTTTCAACCATTAAAAAATGTAAAAACATTGACAATGTAAAAGCANTGGGGATTTGAAATGCACGTAACATTCACATGTGAAACATGCCTTCCTTTTTTTTCAACCATTAAAAAATGTAAAAACATTGACAATGTAAAAGCAGCCCGGCCGGGTGTGGCTCAGCGGTTGAGCGTCGACCTGGGATTCAGGCGATCAGGGTTCGATTCCCGGTCAGGGCACATGCCCGGGTTGCGGGCTCAATCAATGACTCTCTCCTCATTGATGTTTCTATCTCTCTCTCTCTCTCTCTCCTTTCCTCTCTCTGAAATCAATAAAGATACATATATATAAAAAAATTTTTTTTAAAGAAAATGTAAAAGCACACGGGCTGTGCGCTGCTGACCCCCTAGTACAGGCCAGGCCTGCTCTGGGCAGTTGGGTTTCGGAGGTCCTGAGCCCCTAAACCCTGGCTGCAGGATGACCCACACACAGGGCACCTGTCCCCGCCTCCCTCATGCTGGGGCTACACGTGGTGGGGTCCTTCCCTCCAGCTCCCACAGCAATCCCCGCTCCAGTGACCACAGCTACCACAATGGACTCGGCTCGAGGCCGGGCCTGGACAGGGGGCCGGAGCCGCGAGACCCAGGGAATTGGGATCTTGCACCTTACACTTCTCGGATGCGCCCACACCCACAGGAGGCCTATCATCGCTATGCACAGCGGGGCTCTTGGGGTCCCCTGAGCTGCTCCTGGCTTGGAGCCTGGGCCCCTGGCCATGAAGCTGAGAACCAAAGGAGACTAGGGCTCTCGGGATGCGGCAGCCAATCCTGCACCCGGGCTGGCCGGCTGGGGGATCCAGCACTAGGGACCCAGGAGAGGAGCACACACTAGCTTCCTGCTGGAAGGCGAGACAGGCACAGGACGGCCTCCCACAGCCACCACCCAGCAGGGAGCCCGCAGGGCCTACCTGCTCCATTAGTGACCTGGGCCTGGCTTCTCGGAGGCTGCTGGGCCGTCTGCTCCTCGGATCTTGAGGAGGGTAGGAGGAACAAGACCTCTGTTAGTTCGAACCCTGGGCAAGCCTGGGCCTGGGCCTGGGCCTGCGCCTGAGCCTGGGCCTGGGCCTGGGCCTGAGCCGGGGCCTGGGCCTGGGCCTGAGCCGGAGCCTGGGCCTGGGCCTGGGCCTGGGCCTGGTCTTGGGCCTGGGCCTGAGCCTGAGCCTGGGCCTGGGCCTGGGCCTGGGCATGGGCCTGGGCCCGAGCCCGGGCTGGGTGTCCGGCGCCCAGAGGAGGCCTCGCTACACAGCCTGGCACTTGCTCCACGAGGCACTCCCTCTGGGACCCCTACTGCCCAGAAGAGCTGAGACGTAACAGGTGCACCCTTTGTATTTTAATACTGAATAAATGTGTCTCACAAACAGGAAACTCTTCTAATCATTTCCACCCATTTGCTTTTCTTGACTGTTAAGCTCAGAATCTGTAGGTCCAAACGGCTATTAACTGGCTTGCTGATAGAAAGATCCTTAGCACACAGAATTACCAAGTACCCTGCAAGGCCACAGGCTGGGGGGACTCCTGCCCTGGCCAGCTGCCCACGTCCCCCACGCCAGCCACCTGCCTGGCTTCCCATCCTTGCAGCCCAACCACATCTGACCTCAGCAGTCACCGGCCTCGAGCCCTCTCCCGGAGTGACCAGATCCTGACTATGGACCTGTCTTCCAGCCACAGGCCCCGCAGAGCTGGACTTTAGCAGCTGGCCGGGCCCCTGTCCCTCGGGCGGAGTCTGTCCAGGTGCTCTGGCCAGCCCACGCCCTCCTCCCTACCGACACCCGCCTACCCAGCCACCTCACTCTGTGCTGGCTGGGCCACTGTCCCTTGGTTCCCAGTGCTGTTTCTGCGGTTCCCAGCGCCCCCAGTCCGGCAGGGACCCCAGGATGTGGGAAAGGTATAGCTCCAGAGGGGCTTGGGGGGTCCATAGGGACCTCGGAACAGGGCCAGGGGGCCAGGAGACCCTCAGCAGTGCACACCCTCAACTTCAGGGAGCAGGGGGTGCGGTTTCTGCTTTGTTCACATGTCATTCACTCCAACACCTCCATGGGCCAACCCAGCCTGCAGGATTGTAACCCCCAAAGCGAGACCTGCAGCAGGAAGCATGGAGGACTAGCTGGACAGACCTGCAGGATGAGCACAAAGCAGTGGACGCGGAAGGTGAGATGGAGGTGGCGTCCAGGGAAGGGGGCTGTGGTCAGGGAGGAGCGCGGCCTTCACGCCACCCCTCCGGGGGACCGGGCGGCCAAATGACCATCCGCACCCGCAGCTACTGACTTAATGGGGATTTAGCAGGACTGGAAGGGGAGCCCAGGGCACACATAGGAGATTCCAGGACCCCAGCCGGGTTCCCTCTATTCCTGGGCAGGCGTCGAGGCCCCTGGACCAGATGTTCTCTGGGCGAGCCGGGGGGGTTGTCCAGAAGAGGTGGCTCCCCCAGGAAGCACCGACAAACTGGTTCCCAGCAGAGCCTGGGCCCAGGTGTATGCCGCGGGGACCTCGCCCCCCCCCCGGCCTTGGGCACCTCCTCACATGGCCCCTGCACCCCCTCACCTGCCCTTCAGCACTTCCTGGACCTTCTGTTCCAGCTCGATCCGTCGCTGCCGCTCCCGGTCCAGCTCCTGCCGCAGCATCTCAGAGTTGGTTTCTTCTCGCAGCTTCCGGAGCTCCTCCTCTGTGAGGGAGACCACCAGGTGACCACCACTCTCTGTCCCCCTGCCCCCTCCGGCTGCACCAGGGCCAAGGAAGGCATGGTCTGCGGAGCACTGAGGCCCTCCGTGCCTGACAGGAGGTGGCAGCTACCCTGCTTCTCTCCTGTGGGCACCCCCGCAGAGGGGACTATTAATCGGGGCTCCTCTCACTCAGGGGGCAAGACCCAGGGCAAAGCAAGGGCAAGGATTCCTTCACTAAATAAGACGGGTGTAAAATAGACACGCAAAAAGCATCTCACCAACCACACCACCCGGCAGGACGCCCCAGAGGAAGGGACCCCACGACGTCTCCCACACACAGGTGCACCCGGCATGGCCCTGGGAGGGGCACAGTCAGCTCCTGCCAGCTGGGGAGCCCAGCAGGAGAGAGATGCTCTTGAGAAGCCTCACCAAGGAGGCGAGACCTGAGCTGCGGGCTGAGTGAAATGAAGAGCGAAGCCCGGGCGCCTGGGAAGAGCATGGGCCGGCAGGGGAACAGCCTCGCAAAGGCCCTGAGGCCGCAGAGCCCGCAGGCTGGGAAGGGGCATCATAGATGAGATGGGGGGAGGGCGTGAGCACAGAGCTCTGGCAGCAGGGAAGAGGGCCTGACATTATTCTGGGAGTGATGGTTGCCAAGGCCAAGTAGTTGTTTTAGATGGAGTAAGTGGAGAGCTGAGCCACGGCCCTCAGAGAAGACCCCGTCTGAGCTGCGGGACCTGGGGCTATGTGACCGCACATGGACAAAGGGGCTTTGCAAATGCAATGAGCTTAAGGATCTTGAGGCAGAAGAGCATCCTGGGTTATCCGGATCATGTAAACTCATAAGAGGGAGGAGAGTCAGAGGTCAGAGACTGGACGATGCCTCCTGCTGGCTCTGAAATTGGAGGGAGGGGGCAGGAGCCAAGGAAGGCAGGGTGGTCTGGAAGCTGGAAAAGTCAAGGAAGGAACCCTCCCTGTGAGCCCACAAAAGGCACACAGGGACTGTGAGGAGGGACAACACGCGCTGGGGTCAGGTCACCGCCTGCCCAGGTGGGACTGAGGCTGGTTACTGGGCAGCATGGGGTCCAATGTGGCCGAGGGTCAGCTAACTCTTGTTTCTACCTGAGGTCGGCCGAGTGTAGCCTGTGGTGGCCACAGTCCAGGTGATGGGTCACAGACCGTGCAAACAAATTCCCACGGGAAAAGCCACTTTGCTCGAGTCCCGAAAGGCATTCCTGAGACCAGTAAATTTACCGAAACCAGTGAGGACAGGGCCCCAGTGAGAGCCGGGCCTCTGCCTCGAGGTCTGTCCAGTGGCCAGGGCTGTGGGCTCACCTCCGCTGCCCCTCGCTGCGGGTCACGGTAACACTCTCGCTGGCCTGGGCAGGATGGCGGGGTGCTCAGGGCGACCCAGCAGCTTGTCTTCCTGGCCTGCCTCCTCAGCAGACCTGGGGGCGCAGGGCCAAGCCCAAGACCCTGAAATTCAGGCCAAGGCCACTACACGGCCCTGGGCCCCAAACCTAGGCAGCTGACAGAGGCGGCTGTGCGTGAACGGTGAGAGCTTGTCCCACAGCGCAGAGGTGGACAGACCTGAGAGGTCTCCGGTCCAAAGACCCCTGCCGGGCGGGCACCCCAGGGGGAAGGAGGGCACCACCCGGGGAGTTCGTGACTGGCTGGACTTTGTCACTAGCCAAGGAAAAATATTTGGATTTGCTGAGTGCTGGGATGTCCACTCAGTAAATATTTGGAGTGCTCAAGAGTCCTCCAAGGTCCTCCCCTGCTGGGCTCGGCCCTGCTCCCGGCACCTGGGTCTCAGCTTCCTCCAGCGCCCTGCCCACTCCCACCCGCCGGGCTCCTTGGGAGAGGACCCTCCCCAGCGAGGGGGCCACCCAACCCCAAGGAAGCTGTCCTGCCTGGTTCCCGTTAGCAGCGGTTTCCTCCAGAGAACCCTTCGGTTCTGGGCTGAAGCAGTGTGGTCGTCACAGGGCTGTGTCCTGAGGACTGAGGCCTCCCACCAGTGAACCGGGTGCCTGCCCAGGACGCAGAGGCAGCCTGTTTAGGGGCCACGCAAAGGGGAGATTCGAAGGAAGGGGTGGCGCCCTGGCCGGTGTGGCTCGGTTGGCTGGATCATCGATCAACACCAAAAGGATGTCGGTTCATTCCAGGTCCGGGCATGTCTACCTAGGTTGTGGGTTTGATCCCCAGTGGAGGCGCAGACGGAAGGCAACGAATCGATGCTTCTCTGGCACATCGATGTCTCTCTCCCCCCCCTTTAAAATCAGTAAAACATTCTCAGGTGAGAATTAAAACGAAAGAAAGAAACAAGGGGTGGCCTCTGTCTCGGGACTTGGGGACACTGAGACTCAGAAGTAGGGTCCAGCCTGGACCCGGCAAAAAGTGAAGAGCAGGCCAGGAGGCAGGTGACAGGGTGCAGAGTCCCTGCTCCGAGCTGCAGGAAGCCAAGCCTGGGACCCCCCAGCCCCCACCGCTCACAGCCTGGCTCCTTTAAAGCAGGGACGGTGCCAGGCACAGGTGCACGGGGCCCTCACCCACACACATGCTGGGATCCTTCCTGCAGGCACCCAAATCCATCCACGTTTCTCACCTCAGCTCCCACGCTTGATCCTAATGGGCCCCCAGCTCCCTTCACACCCTCCAATCTGGCTCCAAACAGCAGCCAGAGGGTCCTCCTGAAGCCTGAGGCAGCCTTGCTGCTGCCCTGCTTAAAACTCTCTGGGGCTTCCCACGGGGCTCCTGATAAAATGCACCCACCCCGCGAGTCCTCCCACCAAGGCCCGCACCCCATCTCCAGCTGTCTCCCTCTGCCCTCTCTCATCTTTGTTCACTGGGTTCAAGCCACAGTGACCTTCCTTTAGGTCCTCAAGTGCCCTGATCCTGCCCCAGGGCCTTTGCACATGCCGGCGTCCCTCAACCTTAGTCCTGACCCAGATGCCATTTCCCCTGAGTGACCTCCCTGACACTGCCCCCCAATCTGATGTGGCCTTTTGTCATTTTCTCTCATAGGTCTTGCTCTTTCCTGTCAGGATAACCCGGGTCCTCAGGGTGCTGGGAGGCGCCACCAAGAGGTGACGCACGTTTACAGAGAAGGGCTCAGCAAACATAACCCCCGGCAAACACATCACATTTCTAATTCTACATTCACCTAAGGGTTCCCTGGCGCAGGCCCACGTCCCCCAGCAGGCCCGAGGGAGGAACCATCTGCTTCGCTGTCTGTGCTGGTGCCAGGACCTGCCTTAACTCAAGGGGATGCCAGTAAAGACGCGGGGAACAGATGCTGTGAGGCGGGGACAGCACCAGTCCACATACGGGGCTCGCTGGGAACTGGCCAGAGAGGACACCCATGGTGGGGAAGGGGTCCAGGTGGAAATTCAGCCATCGGCCCAAGTGTGACCAGCGGTCACTTCCCAGTACAGGTCACCGGCTCCTGAAGGACATCTGCACCCACTACAGCGGCCCCCACGCTTCAGGCCTCAGCCTCCCCCAGCCTCGTACAAGGGCTCCTGGGGACCCTGACCCGAGCACTCAGGGTCATTTAGAGTCCCCACCTGCCACAGTCCTTGAACACAGAGCACCTGTTAGGGGGCTAGAAGGGGGGACTAGGGTGATCGGGGGTCCACAGCCCTAACAGGTGATCAGCCCAGGAGCCTCTGCCTCCATGGGGATCTCCACTCAGCCCCGTGCTAAGTTCGGCAAATGCTGTCAGAGTGGGGACAGCACTGTGACAAAGCAGCCACACCCTGCCCAGAGCAGCATCGGGGTGCGTCCCTGAGAACACATCCCGTGTGTGAAGTGAACTGAACTGGCTCCATCGGGTGAGCCGAGGCTGCCCCCTGCCAGGCCCTCAGCCCCTTGGGAGGTGGGCCTGTCCTATAGTAGGTGGGGCTCTAGGTCCCTGCTCTGAGGACTTGAACCCACTGACAGCAGGGCACCCTGGCCTCAGGGGATGTGGAGACCTCTGCCCTCCTGTGTGCCCGCAGATCTGCAGCCTCCCCCTCAGGACCCTCTGAGCACCTGCCTCTCGAGCCGTGGGCCTGGCATACAGCTGGCGCTCACTCAAGGCTCACTGGATACGCACGTGGGTGAACCTCACTTGCAGTGAGTCTCCACAGACGCCTGTCCACCCAGCGCTCCGTGGGCGGCCCCTCGCAGGGGTGAGAGCCCTCTACCCCGAGGGGACTGGCGCCTGGCTCAGTCCAGTGTCTACGGCGACGGCCCTGCGCCCACCTCACAGGGCCTGGGCTGGGTGAGTTCCCAAAAGGCGAGGCAGGGTTCCCCCTCCCACGCATGACTGCTCCCGTGGGAACAGCACGTGCTCCGGGGAGTACACAGGGGTACGAGTTTCGAGTCAGCACAGCCTTGCTCCTGGGAGGCAAGGGCGGGGCGCGTTCTAGTCAAGGTCAAGGTGGTTTCCCACCTGCTCCTCTGAACCCCGACACCCACACACACCCCATCCCTCCATGGATCTCTGCGTCATCTGAAGGTCACGGCGGCCCCCACACCTCCTCCCTCCATAGACATCGGGCGCCTTGGCCCCTCCAGCATCCTTAACAGGAAACCACATTTTCCTAACACTGCAGTCCCCGAACCCCCCTCCCCACGTCACTACCCTGTGAAAGGTCAATGCATAGCCAGGTTCCGCCACACGGCAACCAGTAGCCAGCTGGCCGTGGGCTGGACGTGAGCACGTGGACACACAATCCCTTCCCACAGCTCGTGGAATGCGCTGCACCCGCTTTCCAGTGTGCAGACTCACTCACAGCAAGGGGTCTCAGAGACGAGGGGCCTCGGCCACTCAGGGAGGCCTGTCTTTATACCCTCGACCTCCTTACCCCTCTGAAGCTGCCCAGCTCCCCTTCCCTGGGGCCGAGGCCCTGCAGAGCCGAGACAAGCACACTCCTTCCCCCCAGGTCCTGAGGCCCACTGCCCCGGCGGCCGGAGGGCAGGTCCTCCCCAGCCAGGGCGGGGACAGTGGCCACCCCCGGGA